TTAGTTAGTAATAAGAAATTATTGGCTTATATAATTTAGACTAGTTCTCGACACTTGCTTTGCACGTGTATATTACACGTTTAAATGAAAATAAAATTTGGTTCAATCTTTTTTGGCTAAATACACATATGAAAATGTTAAAGAAAAAAACAGTTGTTACCTTACCCTCCTAAGGGATATATATATATATATATATATATATATTAGTATCTTAGGACCATCGGGTGGTGGGGGAGATTATCTCCGGACAGGTATCATCATGGTAGATGTTTTCAATCATATGTCAGATTTGTAATAATATAACCATGAATAAATAACAACTCTGGTGATCTATCTTCTGGAGTTTATTCTTCATATATCGATCCTGATATCCCAAACCATGATTCTCCTATCAAGGCACAAAGCATATTTGCCCAAGAAGCTAAGATGGTTTCATTTTTTGAATTCCATCTAACCTGGAAAACTTTCTCTTTGTGACAATCTAAATGATGAATATGAGTATATCTCAGTATGGTACTGATGTAGCCATTTGAATTCCATATAATGAAGTATATAAGCATATTTACAGTGATGTAACCCTTTAAATTCCATATATAAATGATTATACTCCTTTCATTTTTCATGCATCCTTTCAAATTTCCTAATAAAGTGATTAAGTCTTTTCAACTTTCAAATTAATTGACAGAAAATGTTGTTCAATAATTTTATCTAATTAATTAAAAATTTAATTACTTTTTAATTTGTATTAAAGGCTAATTAGTAATTCAACTTTGAAGTTGAGAGCTTCCCACTTATAATAATATATGATTAATTTGGGAAAATACTATGACATCGGACCTAAAAACCCAAGATTTAACACAAACTCATCTTGAAACTAATATGACCGTACCAACGACCCGATACATGACCCTATTAGATTCAAGACATAATACATTAATAAGCTCTTTAATTTGGTCTAATTTCATATTTATGTCCTTCAATTTTGAGTATGAATAAATAGACACTTAAACTACTGAATACTTTTGTCATAATAAGGAAACATATTATTCTTTTTGAAACAGACTAAAAAAAAACAGAGACATTTTTTTAAACGAAGGAAGTACTATTTAAGAACGGTATTATTAACCGAAAGAAACTGTCATTCAAGGATATTAATTCTAGAGCTTTACTTAAACGATACAAATATTTCACGCTCCATTTCTCATTAAAATAAAGTAGACAATGTTGTCGCATGATTTTTTTTTTTATCCATTCATGACTATAAAAATGCAACTCTTTAAAAATGGTAAGCTACTGCAACAGTTGAATGCTACTATGATATCACTAACCCCTCAAAATGCAGGCCGATTCAGACCTATATCATGTTGTAATGTGTTGTACAAGATAATTCCAAGATGATCTGTGGAAGACTGGAAGGTGCTATAGCTATATTGTCGCAGAAATCAGGCAGCCTTTGTTACAGGAAGGTCACTATTGCATAATGTGTTGATATGTCACGACCTTCTAAGGCATTAAAGAGAAAGACATCCCCGCGGTGTATGATGAAGATAGACCTCAGGAAGGCTTATGATATGGGAGTTCATTGAGGAGGCACTACAGGGCTATGGCTTTCCGAAGACATTCATACGATTAGTAATGAACAGTATAACCTGAACAAAATTTTCTATCACGGTAAGCTGCTAAGGAAAGAGAGGATGTGTAGGTTGCAAATACCAGTTGAAGATGACAAATGCTGCCTATGTGATGCTAATAAGGTGGAAACTTCAGTGCATCTATTCTCTGAATAATTTCATGCTCAATAAAAAAGAATGAAAATGGGACTTGTTGTAAAAAATACGAAATAGAGTAATGAAACATAGCAAATCAACCTTGAATGAGCAAAATATTTCTTCTCCGAAATGTACAGAAACAAACAGTAACTTCATCAGTTTTTGTCAAAAGAAGCAGAACAAAAGCATTCTTTCAAATCATGGAACAATTGTTTGGCTGCACAACTTCTCCAATCTCAAAATCTTATCAGGTTTGGATTGGGCACTTCTTTTGCTGAGAGCACATTATCCGCTCTACTAAACTGCAATTGCAAATAATAGAATATGATGTTTGCCAACCACAATCAGAGACACGAAAAGTAACAATACTAAAACAGTCATTCATTCTATACTAGTTGTTACGACCAGACAAAAGTTAACTGTGGAAAAGCCAATTGGAGTTGTAGATTACCTGGAAGAACTTTGTGGTGTAACCCAAAGTCAATGACAAAGTCTTCAAATCTGGAAGAATACTGATGAGCTCATCTGTAACCTCTTCAAAAGTACCATGACGTGAAATAATTTCTAACTCCAGATGCTCCATATTAGTTACTGGCAATATGTGTGTTACATATTTAGGATTGATGATAACCTGACAACCATCAAAAAGCAACTCAGAAAACCAAACAATCGTATACTCGTTCTGGTGTCCCATTATATTGGCAACATAGACTATATGACGTTGAAGTTGAAAGAGAGTACTTGGAAGAAATGCAGAACATCGTATGCATATGGAAGACAGAAAAAGGGTTACCTTTTTACTATTGCAGATCACACTCAAATGCTTGGAACGAGCACACGACTTCAAAATATCCCTAAACCATCTGTACCAGCATTTAGAAAGCCTTACAGGATCTAAATATACCTTAACGAATTCCAATTCTTTCAAATCTTCTATGCCCTTAATTTTTGTGAGGCGACCCTTGAACTCCAACGATTTTAACTTGGATGAATTTATTCGTACCTCGTCTTCTACAATGCAATCCATCAGCACCAGGCTAGCCAAATTTGGTTGAGAAAGATGAAGCATTTGCAACTTACAATCAGCTATGATCAGTTTCTCAAGTAGAGTGAATTTGTCGATAAAATCCGTCCATGTCGTATATTTTTCTCTAACATTACGCAATGTCAAATTCCTTACTGTTGGCAATGGATCATTCTCACATTCACTTACCATATCGCAATCATCTATCAGGAGTTTCTCAAGTAGAGGGAATTTTTCTAAAAAAACCGCCCATGCCGTATTTACTTGACTAACATTACGCAATGTCAAATGCTGTACCGTTGGCATTGGATTAATCTCAGCTTCACTTAAGATACTGCAATCATCTATCTCGAGTTTCTCAAGTAGAGGGAATTTTCCTATAAAATTCAACAATGTCTGTTCATGATAAGCTCTTCGCAATGTCAAATTCCGTACTGTTGGCAATGGATTACTCTCAGCTTCACTTAAGATAGTGCAATCATCTATCTTGAGTTTCTGAAGTAGAGGGAATTTTTTCATAAAATGCATCACTGTCTCTTTATGATAAGCTTTTCGCAATGTCAACTCTCTTACGGTTATGGTAGAAGTAATCTCTAATTCACAAAAGTCCACAATGAATGAAATAAATTCAAGTGAATGAAGATTTGGGGACTCTATACGTATTTTACCATCACAACTAGGAAGATGAACTCCGAAAGATTTCAGTTGAGGATTTGAAACTACAATAGTATTCAATTTTTGAGTATCCAGAACACGTAATTTTTCAATTCGAGGACAAGCAGCAATGAGATCCTTGAAATGATGATCCTCAATGCAAACAACGAATAGAAAGAGAAACTTAAGAGCAGGAAGCTTGAATGAACAATTCGTAATGTGACAATCGGATATAGTTAAATCAACTAATGTAGTAGAGCAAAATGCAATACCATGCAGGTAGTAATGATTAGGATAAATCGTCTTTAAAGCAAGAGATAACAATTTAACGTTTTTTTCCAAGGCAAAACAAATCCACTTCTTTACCAGATTTTTAGGAGGAGGAGAGTCTTCAAGTGTTGTCATTCGAAGAAAGAATTTGTCAATATCACAATCGTATTCAGAGGGCCTCTTACGGCTTTCTAACAACTTGATCAAGTAACTCAAGAAGGCAACTCTTTTAGCTTTATCTGAAACACGATATTTTGAATAGTCGGCACCAAAATCCATTTCGTCCAAAATAATTCTAGGATGAGAAGCCCAAATTCTTCGCCATATTTTCGACAAAATATTGAATTTCGCGCCAACTTTCCATGGAAGATAAGACTGAATTTCACGGATTATATCCGTTGGCAAATTCGAAATTCTGTCCAATGGCGAATTGGAAACTCTGTTCACTGGCGAATTCGAAATACCCTTCACTGGCAAATTCGAAATACCGTCCACCTGCGAATTGGAAATTCTGTTCACTGATTCTTCTGGCAAATTGGAAATTTCGTTCACTGATTCTTCTGGCAAATTGGAAATACCGTTCACTGATTCTTCTGGCAAATTGGAAATACCGTTCACTGATTCTTCTGGCAAATTGGAAATTTCGTTCACTGATTCTTCTGGCAAATTGGAAATACCGTTCACTGATTCTTCTGGAAAATTGGAAATACCGTTCACTGATTCTTCTGGCAAATCGGAAATTCTGTCCTGAGATCTTCTTCGTTTCGTCATTTTCAAGATAAAAGTGTTGTTGCTTTCCAACTGATGTAATGGGGAAAAAGAATTACAGAGAGAAGAATAATGAGTTCATTCTGTTATATATATATTGTGGGTATCAAAGAAGAAGGATTAAAATGCAAAACAGAAAATAGAAAGGGACTAAATAGCAAACTAACTCAATTTGAAACTTGATATGACCCCGAGCCCACTCGTGGTCAAGATTGGAGATTAGAGTCATCATTGTGTCTCAAGTCATGAATCAGATCTCAAGTTGGGATTGGTGAGGTTGAAAGAGTATTTTATGTTGTCAAAGTCATTTTTTTTGTTAAAATAAGAAGAAAATTGGAAAGCACTTTTAAAAATATTTAAGCTAATTAAATATGAGAAAATTAATAAATATATTCTGATTGAATTCATGATCTGGGGTCGTAGAATTGTTAATAATCCCGGATAATTAGTGATTGTTTATTGATTCTCGAATTGTATTGATGACTCTGTTACAACTTTATCAGGGAAAATGTTTTAGGGTGAGATTTGAAACTTACCACATTAGCATTACAATAAAAATGATCATTAGCGATATTTAATTTTTAATTGCCATTAAATATTTTTAACGGCAATTGTCACTCTTTATATATGTCCCTAAAGTCTTTAGCGACATTAGTTCTAATAACACTTAACTAATACCGGTAATGATATTAGCACTTTTTATTAGTATCAATATTTAGTACCGCTAAAAGTTGTTTTTGTTGTAGTATATGCAATATTTTAACTCTTCGATTCTAGGGCACACAACAATGCCCTAGATCCTCAATGCATACATAATTCAGAAAAAAGTGACCGTAGAGTAGGTATGTTACACAAGTGAAATCATAATCTCCATTAGAAGCTAGAATGCTACGTTACACAAGTAAAAACGCTTTCAATGCTGCATCTGCCATTAATAAGCATAGTAATATTGATGATAACAAAGTTTTCAAGAGTTAAAGAGGCACTTCTGCAGAAAAAGAAAAAAAAAAAGAAGAACAAATTACACCTATCACTACATATTAAATTTTCTTTCAAAAAATTGGTCCAGTACCATAGCGACTGACCAAGTCATGGAACAATTGTTCAGCGATAACAGTTGCGAATCTCTAAGCTTCAACCTCTGATCGATAATATGGAGTTCAAAATGAGTTGTTAATTCCTTCACATCATTCCTCTCTACGAAAACTGCATTTGCAATATAATAAATATGAAGTTCGTCAAGTACAATCACAGAGACGGAAATAAAAAACATAGGAAAAACACTCCCAACCTAATAAGACTAAAACAGTCGAATCCATGAACTCTCACGCATATCCTAATATTTTATCCTCAGCCATTCTACAATCTCTTCTTAGTCAGTCGTGCAGTGCCATTGCCGGCCAAAATGACTTGACAAAAAATTAACGACAATGATAGAATTTAGACGCCAATTGGAGTTGTAGATTACCTTAAAGAACTTTGTGGTGGAACCCAAAGTCAATGGCAAAGTCTTCAAATCTGGAAGAATACTGATGAGCTCATCTATAACCACTTCAAAAGTACCATGACGTGTTTTAATTTCTAACTCCAGATTCTTGATATCATTTACTGGTAATATGTCAGTTACCTTAACAGGAATGAGGACAACCTGGCAACCATCAAAAGCAACTCAGAATGATTAGTAACCAAACAATCGTATACTCGTTCTGGTGTCCCATTAAGAAAACATTTAGTGATGTTGACGACAAGACTATATGATGTTGAAGAGTACTCAGAAGATTGTGACTGGAAATGAATTTCACTAGAAAATGAACCATTATTTCCCTTGAGATGCCTCCTCAAACAAGTTGTTAAACTTCAAATTGTCTATTTCAAGTTGAAACCGAAATGATCGACAAAATTGTAAACAAACATTAATTTGCAATTACAAATAGTGCATGTCAAGATACCTATCAAGTCACAGTTACAAATAACAATAACCAAAAAGCAGCTTATTATATATATGTCTTGGGAAACAAAATATATTAAGCTAGTATCCAACTCAGTGTTTCAAATCAAAGGTTTCGTAACATTTCATCCAATTAACCTATTATGGATGTGTTACTGATAATATAATATGCAAGCACTTCCTTCGTCTTTATTAAGATTAGGAAGCTGGAGATGTGCATCAAGAAAAAGTTGTGTCATGTAATAAAGGAACATTAAAGATGATTGACATAGATGTATTCTATGAGCTTTACAATGTTAACACGCAAATCAAATTCAAATAGCAATATTGCAAGTCAAATTCAAATAGCAATATTTTTTAACCAAGTAAATGCAGTATGGCATGCAACTAATTAAGGAACGTCGTAAGCATATAGAGAACTGGAGAGTCCCAAAAAAAGAGTTACCTCTTGAATATCGCAGATCAAACTCAAAGTTTTGGAACGAGCACACGACTCCAAAATGTCTCTAAACCAACTGTACAAGTTATCAGGAAGCTCAATGGGATCTAGATATAACAGAACGAATTCCAATTCTTGTAAATATTGTATGCCCGTAAAATCTGTGAGGCCACCCTTATACTCCAATGATTTTAACTTGGGTGAATCTATTCTTACCTCCCGCCGCACAGTGCTATCCTTGAGCACCAAGCTAACCAAATTCGGTTGAGAAATATGAAGTTTTTGCGACCAACCGCAAGTATCTAGGACGAGTTTGTCAAGTAGAGGGAATTTTTCTATAAATGTTTCTGGGTCATTAGCATGTAGCAACGTCAACTTTCGTACGGTTGTGGTGGACATAATCTCTAATTCACACAGGTGTATGTTGAATGAAATAAATTCAAGTGAATGAAGATTTGGGGATTCTATACGTATTTTACCACCACCATGAGGACAAGGAAGATGCACTCCAAAGAATTGCAGGTTAGGATTTGAAACTAGATTAATAGTACGCAACTTTTTAGTGTCCTGAATGCGTAACTGTTCAATCAGTGGGCATCCAGCTATGAGATCCTTAAAATCATCATCCTCAACAAATAGAAAGAGTAACTTAAGAGCAGGAAGCTTAAAGGAACAGTTTGTAATCTTACAATCCGATGTAATTAAATCAACTAATTTATGAGAACAAAATGCAACACCATACAGATAGTAATGATCACGACGAATCGTTTGTAAACTGAGACATAACCTTTTAATGCTATTTTCCAAGGCAAAAGAAATCCACTTGTTTACGAGCAGTTCATCAGCATCAGAATAAACTATCATTCGAAGAAAGAGTTCGTCAACTTCACAATTTTTGTGCCTCTCACGGATTTCTAACGACTTAATCAAGTAAGTTAGGAAGGCATCTCTTTTAGGTTTATCTTTAACTCTGTATCGTGAATAGTCGGCACCAAAATCAATTTCGTCCAACAAAATTTTCGGGTGAGAAGCCCAGATTCTTTGCCATTTTTTCGACAAAATACTAGTTTTCACTGCATAGATCCGTGGAAGACGACTCTGAATTTCACGGATGATTTCAATTGGCAAATTCGATATTCTGTCCATCGGCGTTATATTTTCAGACTCAACTTTTAGGTTTAGGATGTCAATTTATATTCTCTATTTACACAAGGCTGTGTGTTTGTGAACCAAGCTGGCTCCGTAAGGCCCTATTAGAGATTTTGATTTGGGATCCAGGCCCAATTAGTTATTGTTAAAAGGTCTAGCGATTAGAGGAACAGGATTTAAGTGAGTTAGATATACATTCAACACACCTAAAATTGAACGATTTGAAATCAAGTTAAAAGGATTGAAACGCGTTTCCCATGTAACCAAGTTTGAAAGGGAAGATATTGTATGCTCTATAAAAAGGAATGAAAACGAGAATGGTATTGAAAATATGAAAGAGATTAACGAAATATTTGATTGTAGCAAAATATTTCTTCACCGAAATGTAGAGAAACAAACAGTAACTTGATGAGTTTTTGTCAACAGAGGATCATGCAAAGTAAGTAGAAAAACAGAACAAAATCACTCTCCAATCTGTTTGCTGATCATACTTCTAAGAATGGATACTCTCCTATTAGGTTTTGGATTGTGCACTTCTTCTTCTGCGGAGAGATCACCATCCTCGTCTATACGAATCTGCATTTGCAATAATAGAATATGAAGTTTGTCAAGCACAAACAAACAGTTGAATCCTAAAATTCTCTTCTTAGTGAGTCGTGTAGGTTACCTGGAAGTACTTTGTGGTGGAACCCAAAGTCAATGACAAAGTCTTCAAATCTGGAAGAATACTGATGAGCTCATCTGTAACCTCTTTAAAAGTAGCATCAAGTGTTTTAATTTCTAACTCCAGATGCTCCATATCAGTTATCGACACTAAATGTTTTAGATATTCAGGAATGATGATAACCTGACAACCATCAAAAAGCAACTCAGAAAACCAAACAATCGTATACTCGTTCCCATTATAGACATTGAAGTTGAAAAAGAGTGGAAGAAAAAGGGTGGGTTGGGTTACCTTTTGACTATTGCAAATCACACTCAAATGCTTGGAACGAGCACACGACTTCAAAATATCTCGAATCCATTTGTACCACCAGTATGTATCCATGTCTACAGGTTCTAAATACAACAGAACGAATTCCAGTTCTTCCAAATCTTCTATGCCCTCAAAATTTGTGTGTTGACCCTTATACTCCAACGATTTCAACTTGGGTGTAGTTAGTCGTATCAACTGTACTACCGTGCAATCCATCAGCACCAAGCTAGCCAAATTTGGTTGAGAAATATGAAGGTTTTGCAACCTACTGCAATCATGTATGATGAGTTTCTCAAGTAGAGGGAACTTATTTATCAAATGCATCAACGCCTCTTGGTTATTAGCATTTCCCACTGTCAACTCTCTTACAGTTGTGGCGGAAGTAATCTCTACTTTACACACGTACTTGGTGAATGAAAATTCAAGTGAATCAAACTCTGCAGACTCTATTCGTATTTTACCATTAGAACAAGAAAGATTCCCTCCAAAAAATTTCAGATGAGGATTTGAAACTACAATAGTATGCAACTCTCGAGTATCCAGAACACGTAATTTTTCAATTCGAGGACAAGCAGCAATGAGATCCTTGAAATCATGATC